TTGACATGTAAAACCACTGCTGATTGTAATTCAATCCTTCCTGCATGTGCTTCACAAAACAGGTAAATAGTATGAAGGCGGGGGCAGGATTTTTTTAAATGTGAAACTAGAAGTTTTGATGGTGCCATTTGGGTTAGCTTATCACAAGCAAAAACAGACTTCTCCCCAAAACTAGATTTTCACATGCTCTTTTCAGTGATGTAGAAACATTGTGGGGGTGAAATAATGTTTTCACGTCTCACAAAGCTTGACAAAAGCAGCTCAGAAAGCAGCTCGGAAAATGAGGACTAATGTTACATGTCCTGTACTAACTCTTAGTAGCAAGGGTAAAATTTGCAACATGTTAACTTACACATAGAAGATTGATCCTGATGAGTTTTGCGGTATTAGTTTTACACATTTTAAATATGGGGAAGAGAGAGAGAGCATTGGCATTTGATCACTACATGGTAGGGATCACTAAATTGCTTTGCAGTTGTAGATTTACTACATAACAAATGTAATGAAAATTATGAGTTAACCCTAGAGTTTGGGTTATCGATGGCAATCTGTTTTCCTCTTTTGTAGTGTCTCTGAAAAATGCTATGGAAGGGGACACTAGAAAAAAAATAGAAACAGCATGGTCTCAAAAAAGAGGTCGCAGCAGTGATGAGACTTTTTACTAAAACCTTATTGTCAAGGGCAAACTAGCCACTATGGCTGAATGCAAGACCTGCAATGAAACAGTGTAAGACTGCTGAACATCCTGTTCTGGCTAGTCAAGAACCCCGTGGTAAATCTGGGCATTACATAAAAAATAAAAAGCCATATGATAGATATTGTTACAGACTTTTGTTGTTGAAGCTGCTGGTTCCTGTTGAGCTTTGGAACGTGCAATAAGTGTTATTAGCACAGATCACGGTTGAGCCGAAATAAAGAAGCTTATTTTTATTCTTTTACCTGTAGGAGATTTATTATAACCTTCTGTTTTATTTTCAACAGAAAACTACTGTCCTGTTATGCCAACAAAGTAGCTAACTAGCATTTGAATACTTCATCCCCAAGGGAAGGGTTCTGGATTTCATGACCTCTGTAATAGTCTAACCCTAATTAGCAAAAGGCAGCTGGATCAAACTTTAGCTCTTGAAGTTTCCAGTTGATGAAGTTGTAAACTATATTTTTTTTATAATTCTAGCTTTTTTTACTAAAGGGAAAGAGAGGCCTATTAGCATGACTAGTGACTTAGTTATGAGTAAGGCTTTAGTTTAGAATGAGGGACATAGTCTATATGTTACTGAAAGACTACATTTAGAGTTATTTGGACGCTGTTAACACTTGTAGTTTTTTTTTTTTGCTACATAAGAATTGTCCTTATTTTGTAAGTGTAACTAAAAATTAAATATTTAGTTTAGATTACAATATTCTCTTAATAGAAATACCCCATTCTTTTATTCATCCATGCTGGAGTGTCACTCCATGCTAGCTAGGAAGGAACTAAGAGGGAACTCCGTGTCATTACATGCCAGCCAACAATGGACGTTTCTGTAATGCAGTCAATAAATAAAATGCAATCCTATAAAATTTAGATTGAAGAAACAAGTACATTGCAAAATTGATAGAAATCTTGTCTATAACTGGTCAATTTCATTTCACAATATTTGGGGACAGAATTATTCCAAAGGTTTAGTAAAAGTTGATAAACCTGTTTTAGTGATTACTTAAAAAATAGGATCATGCTGCTGAGCATTTTAGTCCTAATTTATAATTATGAAGAGCAAATACAAAATAAGATAAAGATGAAGGCCCTTTAAAAAGGCCTACTTCACCAAATGACCAAGCACCACAGACAAACCTGAAGAGAAAGTTTAAATGACTGCACTAGTGTAATAAGACATTTTATATAATTGAACCCTGGATAAAGTACCTTTTGCTGCTAATACTGCAATCCTTGATATTTGTGCATGCATCCAAGTTATTTCTGAATAACAGGTAAAACTGTAAATTCTCAATAAAGTGGCCCTGAATATTTTTGGATCACAGAGAAATGTTTAAATATTACTAACACTGATGTTAAAATTTCCATTTTTGAAAGAAACAAGAAGTCTTTAAGAGATACAAACACTCATTAGCTGAAAAAAATTAACCGCATGGAGGTCCCCTCTTTGGTAGGTAGATACTGCTCAAGGATCCAAGTGCCCTCTTGGCAATTTCTTGAAGACAATGTTCTGGTTTTATTTTCACAGACTCCCATCATTGGCCTATGGTAACCCCTCCTAGTCTCTTATCATTGGCTCACGGCTAACTCTGCCCACCCTCTTATTTTGTATGTGACAGCATGTGGGAAATAACTGGTGAGGGGCTGGGGGCCGTTACTTCTGGTACAACCAGATTATTAGATAGTCTGCAGTTCCAAACTCTTGTCTCCGGCTGATAAAAATAGGTTCCTGTTTCGAAAACGAACTCTGTCTGATAAACCCAGACCGTTTTTAACAACCGGAGTCTGGGTTATAGATAACTCTATTCCATAACTGGTCTACAAGATTACCTGAAGATGCTAATGACAGTTAAAACACACAACTTGATGTGCTCATTGAGAAAACAGAGGGAGGGGAGGGATGGAAGGAGGTCCGGGGGTGGAGCACATTCCTCAATTCACCCACAGCCTATGCTACACCAGAAAGAGAGAGGACAGAGAAGAGAGACACAGACTCTAGAAGGATTAAAGTTTTAAGACTCACAAGTTTAAGACTAGGCTACAGCTTTGGAGTGATAATGATGGCAAGTTTGTAAGACAAAGCACTAGCAAAGATTTTACAAAGTTTAATTTTGGAACTCTCTTATATTAACTCTTATTTTGCTGCATGCTGTTGAAGGTAATTTAAATGGAAACTCTAGGCTACAGCTTTGGAGTGATAATGATGGCAAGTTTGTAAGACAAAGCAATAGCAAAGTAATTTGGAACACTCTCTATTTTGCTGCATGCTGTTGAAGGTAATTTGTAATGCTGTTTAATTTTTACTCACCGTTATACCATTTTACTGCTTTACTGTCATTATTTCAATTTATTCTTCACTTGTTTACTGATGGTAAGTTTGTCACACAAAGCTTTAGCAAAGATTTTGAAGGTAATTAAAAAATGCTGTTTAATTTTAACTCACTGTTATACTATTTTACTGTAATTATTTCATCTTATTCTTTAGTTCTTAATGATGGTAAGTTTGTCACACAAAGCTTTAGCAAAGATTTTACAAAGTTTAATTTTGGAACTCACTCTTATTTTGCTGCATGCTGTTGAAGGTAATTTTTACTCACCGTTATACCATTTTACTGCTTTGCTGTCATTATTTCAATTTATTCTTCACTTGTTTAATAATAAAGACTGACTTGATTCCAAAGAAACCTCCTACTGATCCTTTGCTGGCCCCGGAGATTCCTCCTTTTACTTATAACTCACTGCTATACTTTTTTAATGATAAATTTATTGTCACAAACACCTCCTAGTTAATTCATTCAAGTTGTATTACTTAATAAAGTCTTTAAATCAATGAAAAACACACAATGGAAGGATGTACGCAACCCTCTTATCAGTTACATACAGACATATTTCCGGCTGGGGTGGGACAGGATGAACCCCCTCTTTCAGTTACATACAGCCATATTTCCGGTTGGGGCGGGACCGGATACACCCCTCTTATCAGTTACATACAGACATCCGGTGTGGGGGCGGGACCGGAAATAGCTGTCAAAAATGAGTTTGATGGAATGTATTTGATACTTCTCTCTTCGACTCCTGCAGAAATTTCTCAGCCTTCTTTCCATCTTTGAACGTTTTCTTTTGTCTGTTCCATGTAAAAATAAGTGTTGCAGGATAAGCCAGCCTGTGCTTCACTTGTAGCTCTGGAAGACGCTTCTTCGCCGGTTGAACGCTTTTCTCATCTCCGCCAACTCCATCGTAACATCCTCAAAGAAGGAAAGCTTAGCGCCTTCCCAGTCGATCCCCCGCTTCCCTCTGGCCACTCGTAGTACTTTCTCCCTGGCAAATGAAGGTAGAAAGCGGACAAGTATCGCCCTGGGAGGTTCATTAGGGTCCGGCATTGGTACAGGGGAACGATGCGCACATTCAATTTCAAATTCACTTCCAGAAAGCTCAAATGCTTTATCCAGAATCTGTCACATATTGATCCACTTTTCCGGGTTCCTCCACGCCTTCTTTAAGCCCAATAATCCATACATTATTTCTCCTACTGCGGTTTTCAAGGTCCTCCACGCGTGACCACAACACCTCCTGCCTCTCCTCGCATTTGTCCACTTTTGCCTCAGTAAGCGCGCTAGCATCTTCAATGTCTGATATCCGCTGTTCCGCCTCTCCCAGCCTCACTTTTATATCTTCCAATGAGTCTTTTAGTTCTTTAGTTGTGACATCTTTTGCCACCACCCGAAGAGTAGTATTCATTTTCTTTATTTCTTCAAAAACGTCCTTTTTTCTGTCGCTCCCCGTGCTCAGCGTCATCAGTCGCAGGTGTGCTTTCAGGCGGCTCCGGCTCCGGGGCGAGGCTAATGCTAGCTTGCTTCTTCCTCGTGGTAGCTCCCTTGAAAAAGTTCGTTTTGTTATTACTTGCCATTTTTCCGAAGGCTGCAATCCTAGAGAAACCTCAAAGTCGACAAAGGGTGTCCAAATTATGACCACAATTGAAGTGTATGTCTCCAAATTCAGGACATTAATCAACGGGCTTTAGGAGCTCCTCTAGTGTGCGGCCATCTTCCTCAGTGGTCCCACGTGACTCCAGATGGTTTAGTTTTGAAACTGAAGAAAAAGTCTGAATCTGATTATTAGACAAGATCAGTCAATATTTCTGCTAATGTTTCATTTCTGTTCAGAGCCCAGTATCTGTGCATATCTGAATAATTTATTGGTATCAGAGGAACACACCTAGATTGTGCATTTCTACACAGGAACTATAAAAAGTATTTTATTGAAGGAGTAAATAAATATATCTCCGTCTGTTCTGTTCTGAGGTTTCTGCGTTCTCCACCTGGGAGAAGGAGCTCCACAAGATGGTGTTTGACCCTCGATACCTGCTGCTGACCTCAGCTCAGAGGAAACAGGTTCAAAACCAACAGCTGCTTTCATGTTTGGGAATAATTTCCACTGATGTAGAAACACCTGCTGTAGTCTCTTAGTGACAGGAAGCAGGGGTGAAGTCTCGCTGTTCCGATGACACTGTGACGTCATCTGTGTGTGTCTGCAGGTGTTTGATCAGTTTGTGAAGAGCAGGATGAAGGACGAGTACAAAGAGAAGAAGAGCAAACTCCAGAAAGCCAGAGAAGAGTTCAAGCAGCTGCTGGAAGAGGCCAAGATCACCAGCAGGTATCACTCATTCATTATTCACCTGTGTTCCTGTACATTTGACCTGAGTCCACCTCTTCAGCTGGACTGCAGCTGTTTACCTACCTGTCAGATCACTGAGGATCAAACTCCAGCTGACTCCTGACGCTCTGTGTTTGGTTGGTCAAAGGTTTGATTCCCAGCAGACTGAGATCGTGCAGAAAGGGAAAAGAGAAGCTCAAACAACTCTCAGTCATCCAGGTCACAGTATCCAACGAAGGTTGAGGTCAAGGGCGACTGGACTTAAAGAAGCTAGAAGACTGACTTCAGGACTCCCTTCGTGAAAATGTTCATCAGTTGAGAGTTGGTGTTGCTCTCATGGACTGTGTGTCTTCACCTGAATCCATGTATCATTCATGCTTTGATTATTCTGTTTTAAAACCCAAATCGGAAAAACCAAAAAAAACAAGCCGTTTACTGTTTGATCTTTTTTAAAAACACAATAGAAAAAGAGGGAAAGGAGCTGTGGAGTGATTTCTCCATGACAGGGTGGATCCTTAGTGGTTGCTGGACGTGTGTCGTGTGCAGCAGCTGTGGTCTGCCTCTGACCTCAGATTGCTCACACATTCACAAACATATTCCTGGTAATCTCCAAGAGGCATCTCATGGTACAGCCTCCGACAGAGAAGCAAGATGGTGTCAAACTGGGTTTGATCTCACTGGAGCAACAGCTCTTACTTCTGGTTGGCTGCTTTGCCCGCGAGCCATTCCAACATTCACGGCTTCAGTTTCAGTCACAGGTTGATTCAGTACGCCAGCATCCAGGTAACATTTATTTTGGGGCTGAAAAAAGACTGGTAACCTTGAGCCACCTTAGAAAATACCTGAGCATGTTTATCAAAGCTTACGGTGATGCTGACCGCTACATCACAGCCCCCGCCACCCTACGCAGGATTACAAAGGAGTACTTTCTAACCCTAACCCAATACTGTCAACACTAAGTCTCAGGAAGAGCAGAATACAAGTAATATCACCGGCCCTGAGGAACCAAAGCTCCTTTGTTTCCCCTAAAGATTCTGCTCATTTATCCACGTTGGGCAGGGAGGGTGGGGGGGCAGCGGGCGGACATCCTGTCGCTGTGTGCTGCAGCTCGCTGTGTTCAGAGAGGTTACTGAAGGAAGTTCAGTTCAGGAGCAGAGTTTTCTGTGGGAGACGGGAGCTCCCTTTGGGCTGGACTTCACTTTGCAAACCTGTTCCATGCACAGAAAGATTTAGAAGTCACTAAAGCAGAGCAGAAAAGTCAAAAAGCAGAATATGACCTCTTTAAAAAAGTAAACAAAAACCGATGTCTGTTTTTCCCGTTTAGGTTTTAAATCAGAAAAAAACTAAAACGGCTACGTTTTTTGTTTTGTTGTTCGGGTTTGAAACGGAAGAATCAAAGAATGAACGACATAAGGACTCACCTGCTGCTCTGCTTCAAGTTTTAAAGGGCTGGCTAAAGGTCAATAAAGATCAGAGGGTGTGGGGATTAATAATTACACTTGCCAATCACATCGCTGGTCTCATCGCTGCTCAGCTGAGCCAATGGATGAACAGGCCCGACAGAAACACGATGATAGAAAGAAATGATAAAGTGTGGATGACGTTTTTTTCATCACATATTAAATGGTTGAGGAGAAAGGAGGACACGTTCTAGTAAATATAACATTCCTCTTTGTTGTTCTCTGCAGATCGACCTTTAAGGAGTTCTGTGCTCGTTACTGTGCTGACCAGCGGTTCAGCGCCCTCAACAGGAAGAAGGAACAGGAAGTTCTCTTTCAGCATTACATCACTTCCTTAAAGAAACGCGACAAGGAGAACAGAGCCAGACTGAGGAAGATGAGATGAGAACGCTGTTCTAGAACCTTACAGAACCATCTAGAACCTTTGTAGAACTCATCCAGGAACTTTCACAACCTTCCAGAACCTTCAAAAAAAGGACCTTGTGTTCCACCACACTGAGCAGATGCTGTCCTGACTCTCACTGATGGTTCTGTTGGAGCAGCCAGAGCAGAAACCCAGAGACCAGATGGAACCAGAGAGACCAGACTGGGGCCAGATATCATACTGGAACCCGTATGTGATACGGCAGGAGGAGGGCCAGGATCATCAGACTGGTTTCTGGACTGTAGTGGTCTGGAATGTCATCTGGACCTACTGAACTGGTCCAGAACTGGACTGAATCTAACTCAGACATTAAAAGAACTGGCTTTAAAAAGAATAGATCTGTCTGTGGCCTGGCTGGGTCAATCAATCAAACTTTATTTGTGCAGTTTACTTTTAAAAGTAACTTACAGGATTACTGCCCTTACAAAGTAACACAGCGCTGCTCACTGAGGAACTCGTTAGTACTTAAATGAAAACCTTCAGCCATTCCTTGCACATGTTTCATTTCATTTCATTTATTTATTTAAGGACAGTGCACATTAATCAACATTTCTGTAAATGTGCCAGTGTTAGCCAGCAGGCTAATTTTCAACTGTAGTCCAGTTGACTACAGTACGGTCGTCATCGCACAGCCTCGTTTACGGCCCGTAATCAGTACCTGTGCAGGTAATCGTCCCTGTACCGCTCATGTGTTTGATCACAAGTAAAAAACAATTGACGAGGTTCCGCTGCTCAGTGCATAGACCCCAACAAGTTCCTTCAACATCCAACAGCTGCATGACAAAAGCAAAATTATTTTAAGAACTTTTGGCTGCTAACGACCTGGACACGGGCGGATCAGCTGCCTCTCAGACGTTTCAACATGCGACCAGTTAACCAGGTCAGAGATCTACCCGAGCTACCTGAGCGCTGACACCGCTGCAGGGTTGGACCACGCCACTCGCAGCAGAAACAGGAAACACGGTGAACTTTAACAGTAACGGACCGCTTGTTTGAAAACGTAACTAAATGGAGGATTACGTAGATTACAAAATGAACGCATTACGTTAGTATTTAGAACAAAAAAGTAATGTGGGTTCTCTAATGAGTTACTTTTTAAGGCCAGCGCTGCTGGTGAAGTGTTTTACAGCTGATAATAATAAGACAACGCAAATACAAACAGAAAACTATTTGAGTAACGAGCCCATTCTCAGTCCAGTAGTTAGCTTTGTCACATCTTTCACGTCTGGTACCAACAATATGTCCCATAGCACCATTGTTCAACACTGAAAGTGCTTCTGTAAATAACAAAAAAGGTGGACAGGTGAAGCAAAAACAGGAGACATGTGAAACAAAAAGTCAACATTGATTCCTTTTAGTGATCTTACTTAAGTTACGGAACCAAAGTCCTTATAGGCAAGTCATGCCAAGCGGCATGAGAGAAGATGTGACTGAATAACGTATTTATTTTACCCAAACCATGATCTTTTTTCTAAACCTAACCAAACTATGATGTTCCACAACACAAACCACTAGCTTTATTTTTAACGGGACATTGCATATTAATTCTTGCTAACTTGACCGCGGACCCCACAAGTATTGGCATATAATATATATATTGGCAGTTTTGCGACAATGTGCTCTATAAGTGCTGAGCGGGAGGAGGCTAATGAGCGGCCGGCCAATCAGCTCACAGAGCCCTCTGTCCCTGCAGTCACGCAGACACACAGACTTTGTACGCACAGAAAGTTCTTGTGAAACTTAAATAAAACAAAAACAACAACATAAGTATTATGACAGGGGACTGTTGATGCTTTATTATCGTTATTCTAAATATACATACAGCGTTAATGCAATGTTACAGTTCTGATTACATTGCTTGCTTTTTACTTGTTTTTATTTTATATAATTCGTAATTATGCACCGATATACCAAAGCAACAGATCGGTTGCAGCTTTGTTCTGCTTACACAAGATTAAATTAAAAAAGGTTTTAAGTTGCACTTACATTTATATTCCTCCCATTGTTTACTTCTGAATTCCAAAACCCTGAGATTGGCAACGCCTGGCCTAGCATATTGCAGAATAATCCAAATTAACAATTTCATGCTGCCTACTACAACCACTCATCATGGAGAGTCTATGAAGCACTGTGAATGTTAGTGAAATGACTGCTAAATCTTTATCAAAGAAGCAGATACGTGCTGACACAGCTGCTCCTCTGTTGTTCTGATGATTCAGCAGTTTGACCTAGATCACAACCTATCAGCAACACTGAACATGAGGAACACGAAACAGAATGTTCCTGCAGAACCTCAAAAACTGAAATAACTGCTGACGCGAACACGACGAACACAAGGAGGACGAAGCAGACTGTTCCTGCAGAAGCTCAATTAATTGAAATAACTGCTCACGCCGAACACGAGGAACACGAAGCAGACTGTTCCTGCAGAACCTCAAATAAATGAAACAACTGCTCAAACTGAACACGAGGAAGACGACGCAGAATGTTCCTGCAGTACCTCAAATACCTGAAATAACTGCTCACGCCGAACACGAGGAACACGAAGCAGACTGTTCCTGCAGAACCTCAAATAACTGAAATAACTGCTCACGCTGAACACAAAACTGACTGTTCCTGCAGAACCTCAAATAACTGAAATAACTGCTCACGCTGAACACGAGGAACACAAAGCAGACTGTTCCTGCAGAACCTCAATTAACTGAAATAACTACTCACGCTGAACATGAGAAACACAAAGCAGACTGTTCCTGCAGAACCTCAAATAACTGAAATAACTGCTCACGCTGAACACAGAACAGACTGTTCCTGCAGAACCTCAAATAACTGAAATAACTGCTCACGCTGAACACGAGGAAGACGACGCAGAATGTTCCTGCAGAACCTCAAATAACTGAAATAACTGCTCACGCTGAAGACGAGTAACGCGAAGCAGACTGTTCGAGCAGAACCTCAAATACATGAAATAACTGCAGAACCTCAAATAACTGAAATAACTGCTGACGCTGAACACGAGGAACACGAAGCAGACTGTTCCTGCAGAACCTCAAATAACTGAAATAACTGCTGACGCTGAACACTAAACAGACTGTTCCTGCAGAACCTCAAATAACTAAAATAACTGCTCACACTGAACAAGAAGCAGACTGTTCCTGCAGAACCTGAAATAACTGCTCACGCTGAACACGAAGCAGAATGTTCCTGCAGAACCTCAAATAACTGAAATAACTGCTGACGCTGAACACGAAACAGACTGTTCCTGGAGAACTTCAAATAACTGAAATAACTGCTCACGCTGAACACGAGGAACACGAAGCAGACTGTTCCTGCAGAACCTCAAATAACTGAAATCACTGCTCACGCTGAACATGAAGCAGACTGTTCCTGCAGAACCTGAAATAACTGCTCACGCTGAACACGAAGCAGCCTGTTCCTGCAGAACCTCAAATAACTGAAATAACTGCTGGCGCTGAACACGAAGCAGCCTGTAGCCAGCGGAACCTCAAATAACTGAAATAACTGCTGACGCTGAACACGAAACAGACTGTTCCTGCAGAACCTCAAATAACTGAAATAACTGCTCACGCTGAAGACGAGGAACACAAAGCAGACTGTTCCTGCAGAACCTCAAATAACTGAATAACTGCTCACGCTGAACACGAGGAACACGAAGCAGACTGTTCCAGCAGAACCTCAATTAACTGAAATAACTGCTCACGAGGAAGACGAGGAAGATGACACAGAATGTTCCAGCAGAACCTCAAATAACTGAAATAACTGCTCACGCTGAACACGAGGAACACGAAGCAGACTGTTTCTGCAACCTCAAATAACTGAAATAACTGCTGACGCTGAACACTAAGCAGACTGTTCCTGCAGAACCTCAAATAACTGAAATCACTGCTCACCTGAACAAGAAGCAGACTGTTCCTGCAGAACCTGAAATAACTGCTCACGCTGAACACGAAGCAGAATGTTCCTGCAGAACCTCAAATAACTGAAATAACTGCTGACACTGAACACGACGAACACAAGGAGGACGAAGCAGACTGTTCCAGCAGAAGCTCAATTAATTGAAATAACTGCTCACGCCGAACACGAGGAACACGAAGCAGACTGTTCCTGCAGAACCTCAAATAAATGAAACAACTGCTCAAACTGAACACGAGGAAGACGACGCAGAATGTTCCTGCAGAACCTCAAATACCTGAAATAACTGCTCACGCCGAACACGAGGAACACGAAGCAGACTGTTCTGCAGAACCTCAAATAACTGAAATAACTGCTCACGCTTAACACAAAACTGACTGTTCCTGCAGAACCTCAAATAACTGAAATAACTGCTCACGCTGAAACAAAACTGACTGTTCCTGCAGAACCTCAAATAACTGAAATAACTGCTCACGCTGAACACGAGGAACACAAAGCAGACTGTTCCTGCAGAACCTCAAATAACTGAAATAACTGCTCACGCTGAACATGAGGAACACG